ATATTTATAATAGGCCTATAGCCTATATATGATATTATATATGATAGAAATAGGTCTACTCTAAATCGTCTTGCAGTAATGCTGTAAACGTATATCATAATTTTCTAAACGTTAAAGAAGAGGAATCTGCCAATGGGAACAAATAGATGCCCCAACCTAGATTCGAACCCGGGACCTCAATTTCAATATTTTTTTAATCTCACGAATCCAGTACCTTTTGCCGGCACATGCAGACCCCTTAACCATCTGGATGTTGAGGCTTTCGTTAGAAGTCAGAAACGGATTGGAGGCAATTGATTTCACATTCTACGAATTTATTTATATAAGGATATGAAGGCAAATGTGAATCTGTAGATCTTACCTGTATATCAAAAAAGCACATAACAGGTACCGTCATTGTCATAAGGAACAAGTAGAATATAAAGATTGGCATATAGTTTGTGTGGGTCAGCTGCATACCGCACATGTTGTAAGGTTGACGATGGAGATCCAGTAATAAACCTGATACTATATTCCTACAAAGATATTGCAAATGGTCAATATGAATACTACTAATGATAACGATGATAACTGTTACTAATACTGTAATAATCAATGATAATAATAACAATATGAAACTTCCTTCCTATTATGTATTAATGATGAAACATATCCTTTTTTCTGAGATTAAAAATTATATTTTGTTATTTTTTTATGGCATCTTATCAATTCACGTATATAAAATATGAGTAAAATTTAATTTATTTGACTTATTTGAATATTATTTACAATTACGAGGCGACAACAGGTGGCTGATATATTAGACATAAAATGTATGTTTGTAAACACACTTATACGGTGGCCATCTTACATACAATTCCAATAATCATGGGCGGATTCAGAGCCTTCTTCTGACAATCGGACACATGTGAAGGTCCAATTAGTTGGGAGACACTTTTAATTGCTTCACAGTGTACCTGGACGGATATAAAGCCAAATCACCAGTGGGACTGAAGCCTTTGGTGCTCAGACAATCTGATATTTTAGATATTACCTATCAAACATTAAATATTAACCACGGCATTGTAACGGGCAAACAACTATAAAATACAATGTACATTGCTACTAATGAAGATATTGAGAACAGATTATTGGTCAAGTCAGAGAATTCGTTTATTGGCTTTTTTCACGAGTTTTTGAGAAAATATAATACTAATTCAACACGATATATAAACTGTTTTTTTTAAATGGTTGTCTCGTCATAAGGCAATGAAAAAATAACTGTTTCTGATTTCCCGACTGTGAAACTTATTGCCTCGACAATATAATTAAACGAACTTAAAATATCAAACAAAAACGTGTGTGCCAATAGTTAAAATACGGTACCGTATATAGAATTAAAATAAGAGGCAAGTAAGCCTACTCAATATCTGAAATTTTTGAAAATACATTTGAATGAATTTTGAAGATTACTTCGGTGTTCACACTGATTACTTATTGTTGTAAATAGTGACCATTAGCACATATTAATCCACATCCAGACTTGTACTTCACTTAGAGGATTTGGATTTGATTATCCTCTAATTTGGCTGTATTTGATCATATTTAACCAGTGGTCTCAATTTGATCAAGTTTATACTTTATTTAACATTTACCATTTACATTGGGGTATTAGTGACCATTAGTGACCAAATAGTGACCATTAGCACATATTAATCCACATCCAGACTTGTACTTCACTTAGAGGATTTGGATTTGATTATCCTCTAACTTGGCTGTATTTGATCATATTTAACCAGTGGTCTCAATTTGACCAAGTTTATACTTTATTTAACATTTACCATTTACATTGGGGTATTCATCGGTTGAGTAGCTTGGTGGTTAAGATGCTTGCCTTCCTGGGTTCCAGGAGCGGCGACAGGATTTGCCCCGGGAAGAAAGGGGGTCATTTATTCATTCATTTATTTGGTAAAAATCAACATAAAAATCACTTCATAAAAACTTAAAAACAGATGTCGTAAAAAAAGCATTAAATTAAGAACAATTAGAACAAATGAACATTAATATAAAAGTGTAAACAAAAATATTGTAATAAAAAGCTTATAAATTGGGGGAGTGCTGTCCCAGACGAGAACAAAGTGCCAACAGAAGTGCCAACAGGAGAAGTGCCAACAGGATTTTATTCTCACGAACAAAGCAACTCCACTTTCCAAGCCTCATAATGAGAGTTAGTTTATGTGGAGCATCTTGTGTTTATGTTTGTCTTGTGAAGGAATATGCCACTTTGAATAGTGATTAAATTCGGTGCTTGGCGTATTAAAAATGAAATATAAATATGTCTGTATTAGTTTATCGAAGGAATTGGATCACAATATTAACAAAAGGCTATTATCAATAATCTTGCGTATTCAATAGGCCCTACCTCTTTCCATACTTTATAATCGATGTTTACAAATGCATTAAATTAACACTTAAACAAACTACTTCTCTTAATCACGTGATCTATGATCGTGGCCAAATATTACGTGCATAATATTATCTGCAATCAATAAACATAAAAAAATAAAATTGGCAAAGAAGAGGAGGATATGCTAATATAAATACAATCAATAATACACAGGCATATTTACAATTCTTCAGAGTCGCTTAATCCACGACTATAAGGCAGCTAACAATTCTTGGGGAAAAAAGATTATGAATGTGGTAACTCATATGCTCATGATAACAAATTGATCGAGATATGAACGATTTATACGGATTTATATAAAGTGTTAATGAAAATAAAAACAAATCCAGGAAAATGTGCTTTGAAAACTGAACGCGTTTTTTTTCCTTTATTTTAAATATTACTTTCATGCGAATTTAACAAACAAAATCTCGAAGAGAGAAACAAGTTAAGTGGAAAATTCAGGAAGACTTTCTTTAACGCATTCAGTCATGACAAACACCAACGTAAAAACACCGGCTATTAACCGCAATTTGAATTCAGCATTATTCACACATAACCAAGCTCATCTCTCATTTAAGAAAAACTTCATCCTTGTCGAAAATTATTTTCTCAGCTTTAGAAAGTGTTTTCCCGACACATTTAAATTCCCATAAGATGCAACTAATGCTAATATATCTGGGAATAAACTGAATGAGTGACGGACGTATAAGTGATGGCAAGAGCGAACGTCACGGATCACTGCCAGAGAAAATATATTTGTCAACCTTCATTTGGTTTAATTTTTAGCAGAGCTTTCACTGCCCATCAAATAAACATGTGCTGATACACATAAAACAGTATATGGATTTTTTTTATTTTAATATGACGACGTTGCTTTTCTTAAACTTGGCGCATTAATGCATTGAATACTCAGTACACTCAAAAGTAACTGCTAATGATTTAGGTGAGAATCGAACCCACGACCTTCGAGTNNNNAATTAGTTTATTAAACTAATTCCTCCCTGTTCAATTTAAAGCTTTTCATTTCATCTCCGATTTGTATTTTGAGCACATTTCTACCACATAAACAAAAATATAAAGTGTATTATGTATATAGGCCTACTGTGGCTTTTAATTGGCCATGCGGTCTTTTATGGCAATTTAATTGAATGTTCTCATATCTTGATTGCTGAATCGACATTAAGATAAGAGAGAGCACGCCCTCTATCAATATCTAATAATCAGTACAAAAAATCGATACAGCAGACTGACAAATATGATATGGAACAATACGCAACGCATGTATGCATTTAGTCAGATGTATTGGGACGAAAACAAAAGCTAAGTCAATGAATCGAATCATGACAGAAACATGAATAATTGGGGGTATTGCTTAGATCAACAACGACTTATTACAAAGTTATTGAGCAGCAGAAACAAGAGTGTAGCATTATCCGAGACGAAATGTCTTCTCGTCTTAACTATTTTTAAAAACCTGGATATCAGTTTCTGCTCTGTAAAACCAGTTTCAAGAATTTAGAATTCATGGTAATCAAATATAATATTCATAGTTATCAAATACAATATACATCCATATGAATAATAATATTTCAATAATAATAATGATGATACTTCCATATAATTAACAGCAGTAACAACAGCAACAATAATAATAAGTATTAATAATAAGGATGAAGATGATGATATCAATGATGATGGTGGAGGTGGTGATGACCAATATCACTAAAGACTACAAAAAGCACCAATAGTGCAAAAGGCGCAGCTCCATTAACAATGGAAGTTATATTCCATATATAGAGGCCTATCTGGTCTTCAGTTCAAATACAGATTTTGTATAAGCCTGTACCGTGATAATAACTAGCTGCAGTCATCGAAATACTGCGAATAAAGAAATCAATAAGATTTAATGAAAAATATTAGAAAAACATACCCTCAAAATTACCATTGAATTAAACAAGAAGTTAGTATACTACTCTGACATCAACCTTGAACTAAATGCTGATGTATTGAAATCTTACATAAGACCAAATAATACTACACCACGTCACAATAAGGTACTGCATACCACCATTCCACCAGAGCAGCAACGAAAACCAAAGAAAAAAGAGAAAATATATTTGATTTAATTTAATCCGGTGTTACTAAATTCTCAAGTGACGTATTATTGCAGGTGATATGAATTTAAATACAGCGTTGATTAGTCGTAATAACATGTATAACAAACCTACTGATGATTATGGTAAAATGTTACTAAACTTGTGTAGAAACAGTAACATGAGAATTATGAATGGTAGAATGTTGACTAACAAGGCAACTATACTTGCTATAGCCATAAAGGTACTAAAAGTACTATTAATTATTATGATGTGCTCCATTGACTTTTTAAGAGCACACCCATGTTTAAAGTTCATAACTTAAATCCATTACCTACGGTATTCACTGTATGATTTCGTGGCATATTAAAACATGTAAATTCAAGCCGGTTGAAAGTTGTGATGACAATACTCTCAACAATTTACCGTGTAAATTTATTTGGCCTGACAATGCTGCATCATTATAGAATAACGCTATTAACCATCCTAACTCAAAAAATATATTCACCAAACTTTGTAATTCCGAGTTCGCCTCCTCAAGCTCTGTTGACAATTTTGTTGAGAATTGGTATAAGACTATTACCGAAGTCGGTAAATTAGCCGGTATTGTTAAAATTAATAACCATAATACCAAACACAGTAAATATAATCTGAATAATAATAAAAGTAAATCTAAGTATGATAAAAAAAATGGTTTGATAAAGAATGTAAAGTACGTCGACAGAGCTAAATGGGTTGGCTAGACACAGATCTAATAAGGACAACCTGAAATTGGTATATTCCTACCGTAAATTAAAAAGCAGTACTTCAAATTTATTAATTAAAAAAAAATGTTGATTTCAGGAAAAATATTTTCAGCAGACTTGAAAACCTGGAAGCGAATAATCCCAAAGCTTTCTGGAATTTGTATAATGAACTGAATTCTGTTGAAAAATCTGAGCCCAAATATCACCCCCTAAACAGTGGTTATGTCCTTTTAGTGGTTTAATGAACA